CCACTGTCAAACTTAAAGTTACAAGATTGTTTGCATGAACGCCATGTTGTTTTGCATTCTACAAAAATGCCTCAACAGAAAACGCGTATTTCTTGAATATAAGTTTTCATACTCCATTTCAGGATCCTACATTAAATCCTGCTAGTTTGCAATATTGTGTACTACCAATTATAGAAAATTAAAAATTAAAATGTAGGGTAGCTTCCAATGTCATAACATTCTCAACAATTTTCATGAAAACTGGTCAACTGTTTAAAAATGTAAACTGGGAATGTACATACAAAGACACCACAGTGATCTTGTAACCTTACTTCTTTTCCTTACAGAAGAAAACTAGGCTGAAAAACAGCATTTGAAGATTAGAAACTTAGCAGAAGTCTAATTTAAAACAGTAGTATATGATGTTACATCTTATAATATTATAAGTCCATGTTTACTGTTAACTAATAAGTGAAAGATAATGCCACTTAACTAGTCAGAAAATTCACTGCCTTTTACAGAACTCAAAATTTCATTATCTTGTTCACAACAGTCTGCCTCTGGACCAGTTATACATACCACATATGAATACTTAATTTAATTTCTCTATCTTCATAAAAAATTGCAAGACTTACCACATAAAGAATTTCTTTATCAACCACAAACTTTTCAAGGAAGACTGTACCATGGAGTCAGTAACCAATTAATCCCTATCACAATACCAGCACTACCTTAGAGTCTCTTGGCTGGTGCAGGCTGGGAAAGTGACCTTGATTAACCTGAAGTGCCTCAAGAGAAACCAGTCAGAGAAACATACTGCAATCTGACTTGCTGACTAACACGAGGTAAAATTACCTTCCTCTTTAAAAAATAGGTGCATACTAGAACCATATGCCAATAACTACTATGACCCAGAGATGGTTTCATGAGGTTTATTAGTTATGTCTGCTATCGTTAAGCTAAGCGATGATTACTTTTATGTAGATTTAAAGATTAGTAACAATACTTCAGTATCATTACAGGAAAATATACATGGAGGTTGTATAAAAAAAATATACACCCTTCTGAGGATGAAAGTTGAAGATAGGCAGGATCAAAACCACTCACCCAATGGTCATGTATATATTTTTATATTCAGGCAACAATAGACAATGTCCAAAGGAAATCAAGAAGGATGAACCATTTTGTACTAGGTAAATAGGACATAAAGTCTAACATATCTCAAACTAAAATTCATCTTTAAATGCATAGACTTCAGTATCCAACTCATCCATCAGAAAGTTTCTTTCAATTTGTTTTAAATTTTTTGTGATGGAAATAAGTCAACACTACTGTGGAATTTTTGCAACTGAAGTGAATGCTTCCAAACATGCCAGTCAGAGAGTGCATTGTTTGTAACTTAATATCACAATGCACACCATCTAAGGGAATAATCCATGACCACTTTCTCTCTAGTCCTAATTACCAAGCAGACTAGCATAGCAGTAATGTCACAGACTTACACTTGGCAGTTGCCAGCTTCAAAAGTCGGCCAACAGTTATTCTGTCCAAGATACTTATAATTTTTCAGTCGCTCTAAGCAGATGTCTAAATAATATACCTTGAACTTGGCCACAACTGCCCCTTTCAAAATGCTTCCCTATTCGCAATTCATGGCCATCTTCTGTTCTCATTCAACAATATATAACCTTCATAACTTAAACTCAGTTAACTCATTCTTACATTGTATTTCTTCAAAATTTGATAGTTTCTCAAATGGTCAAGAAGTCCCCACTTTATGGAACACTAAAGTTCATTAACATATTAATGAAAGCCAATCAGTGGACCTTCCTTTAAGTCAGTCAAATAGTCCACACCCTCACATCCTATTTCACTAAGATCCATTTTAATATTATTGTCCCATCTGTGTATAAGCATCATTCTTTCAGATTTTTCAACTAAAGTTTTGTGTGCAGTTCTCATTTCCCCTATACATGACAAGCAAATGTCATCCTCCTGAGTCACACTTGAACTTAATGCAAGAGACTCTGTAGCCTTTATCATCTGGCATGTGACCTAATCACACACCACAAGGCTATCTGGCTGAAATTTCCTGAAGAAAGGACAGCATGAGGACCATTTATTTTCTCTTTGTTTTTAAAAGCTAAACTATTAGCTACAATGTACATACCAGGATGAATCACATAATGCCACTAAGATATGGACAATGAATCACTGGGTACTAATATTTCACATGGCAATGGTAAATACAGGTTTTGTCAATATCAACATCTACAGCTACTAATTGTCACTCCAAAATAACATGCAGGCAGGCGCCAAGCATATCTGCTGTCCCTATGTATAAGTAACAAATTTGTCTATTTTTAGATTACGAAGTTTAATTATGGCTGGATTTCAGTTCTTTTTAGTGCCCCTTCAATCATGGCTCCCATAGGCAATTGCAAAACTCTGCTACCCTCTGGTGCTGCCCCTTATTTTCAGCACTACAATGCAATGCTTCAAAAATCGGTGCCCCCATAGAAAGTTGCTGCTGCTCTAATGTTGCCACCCCTCATATGCTGCCGCCCCGGGTGCGATGCACCTGTTGCACCCACAGGGCAATGCGGGTCTCCAGAATTGTTGAACTGTGTAAGAATGTGGAGCCAGAAAGTGAGTGAGCCAATTTTTACTTGTAAATACCTTTTGATGTAAATCTGATACCAGGGGGCAAACATTTTACCATCCTTTCACAGAGACATGACATTTGCAAACAAGTTGTTGACATCATTGATCAATTTAACCTACAATCATGGTAAACAGCAAATTATTTTTATCTGATAAATTGTATGGATGAATGCAAGTTGTGTTTGAAAATAAAGTGCTGAAAATATATATAAAAAATAAATGTGAAACAAAAGAAATTACATGCGGAATGTGATTTATACTTTCCTAGTACTACAGTTAGGGTAGTTACATCACGGAGGGTATAACAGACAGTAAGTGTAACTTGGATGGCAGTAGCAAGTATACAGAATTTTGAAGAATAAATCACTTAAAAATTGATGACTTGGACTAGAATGGAAATACGAGGAACAGTACTTAACTAAATACAGCTTTCAGTAACATGGATTGGCCTGAACTTCTTTCACAATGGGTAATATCATGCTAATAATATTAAGACTTTTGGTTTCAATACTAGCCAACTATCAACGCTGCAATATTATTATTTAAAAAAAATTATGTGGAAGATAAGCATTTTCAATAATTTTTCTTAACATTCCGAATATCTATCTCCTGCTTTATTCATTATTTTCCATACAGGATCCTACACTATCCCAATCTCATGCTCATATGCCTTATAAAATAGAATAGAATTAATTTATATTCTATAGATCTTTCATAGGCCCAAGTCAAGGTTGTAGGACATGTTCTTGCACAAATATAATATATATTTCTAATACAGATATAAATTACATAGTTATGACAGTAACAGAGAGTGAACTACAGTATTACTGCAAAAAAATAATAAAACAAGAAAGCATAACCAATATTGCTTACATGTGTTTATAACAGCTGAGAATTTATGGCTGGTGTAAATTCTTCTATGGAGTAGGAGTGAGAAAGGAAATACCCTTTTAGTGCTGGCTTAAGTAAAAGTAAAGCTGTCCCACTATACGCCATATGGGGGCTTCGGGGGAGATTTTCAAAATATCTGCTGCAGCTTCAGCTAAGAAGAATACTGTTAAACAGATGGCACACACATTTCTCTGCCCTAACGGAATGAAAATATTCTGTCTCAGGACGCAGAACATGTTTCCATTCACATAAAATGACAAGCAAGAAAAACCTCATACACTTCCCCACTCATAATTTAACTTCTATAAACCCACAGCATTAAAAAGTTGTTTAGGAATTACAATACGAAATACAAACTAATAAAATATCTCAAATATTCCGTTATAAATGTCATTAAAAGCAAAGGGCAGTTTAACTTCGAATTATTTAATTTTGATCACTCTTTTTTAAACTGTGAACAAAACGTCATGAAGGCAAAGCATTTGAAAAATATAGCTTAAAACTAAAATCTGTATGCTACAAACATATTAAAACCATACCTGAACCTTGGGAACAATATCGGAGAGTGACAGCTTTTCTTCACTTTGATCTGGTTCCACACTGAGAAACACAAACCCCAACTTTGACACATCTTGTCTCTGCCCAGTTTTTTCTGAGATGCGAACTGCAAACAAATCGCATATTTTTTCTGCGTTTTCAAACACAAGTCTGATATTCTTTCGTTTCACACGTATAGATGGATGCTGCCCCAATTCATCCATGTCTGGAGGATGTCAACCTCCATTTCCTTGACTACATGGCGTCAAACTTCTTCACTTTACACTAAACTTCCACCTGCTGCCCAGGTGGCCATCTTGCACGCGTCGCTCTTAGTGCCCTCTAGTAAACTAACTTCGCCCTCCTTGCACGCGCGTGACTTAAGTCTGCATAATTTTGCCAAAAAATTTAAATGGCTTCTAATACAGTAAATTTCCGACCAAAAATCAACACATAGAAATATGACTCGGATGCAGAATATTAACCAAATAGACTACTAAAAGACAAACACGAACCTCCATGTTCGTGATGTTAATGTCAATAGAGTGAACATAAACTTGAAATACACATCGAGTAAATATTCATTAAAGAATTTAGACAGTAAAAATGTTTACAAAACATTAACGGTATTTAATATTCGGTCTGTGGTGCAAATGGGCTAATAAAATTGGCCATCTCCAAAGTAATATACAGAGCAGTAAGAACCTTTGAAATGTTTTTAAACTTCTACCAGACTACACAATGCTATAACCCAGAACTAACCAGTCTCTGAATCCAACAATGGACACTTGCACTTCCCTTGGCCAGTGTTAACAAAAATACTTTGTGATGTTATGCAGACAAAATGTTCTGATGTCATCTTTACCAATAGCTTACTCCTATTACTGTTAATCACATCACACAGGTCCAGGAGCACAAAAATCAATGAAAAAATTTGTAGCATCATTTAATAACAATATTACAAAAATCATAAACTAAATACTCCTTAATTCTCTAGAAACAAAGTGTGTATTATATGAAGCACAACTCTAATCACCACCTCATATAAATTGTATAAAAAGACTGAGAAGCGCATTTTAACTCTCTCGCGAGACAACAAACTACTTAACTAAAATAACTGTGGAGCAGAGTCCTTCTTGAGAAACTGACAGTATTCTCACAGTATTACAGTAATTCAACATTTTTATTTTCTTTATATCCTCAGTTGTGTCCACACTACATGATGGAGTCTATCCCATGGGCAGATGATAATGGTGGCTGGCAGAGAGCTACAGCTTAATGGTGGACTCAAACCATGGTCAGGGGGAATGCATAAAGATGCACTCCAAATCTAGCTATTATTGAACTGAAGGGTGTCTCAGTAATAAAATATAATAACCAATAAACAGACTTATGGCAAACACCTGCAGCTATGGTCTCACTGATCTTAACACAAATACCAACAGAAGGACTGAAAATAATAAACACCTTGTTACATGAAACCCACCTTTAAGGAATGTTGAGGGATATAAAGAGAACAAGGACCAACAGTAAATAAATGTGAATGAAGGAGCAAAAAGAAAAGTGTGAGAACAGCCTTGCAAACTGATGCCTTATAAAAGTGGAAATGTCTATCAACAACATTTATCTATTTGTTACTGGAAAACATAAAATATTACACATACATAACAATTCAGTATCATTTTTTTATAAAATGTACTAATGTAAATTATCACAAGTGGAAAGGAATGTAACACACATTTTTAAAACGTAATAATACACAATCACCATTAATATCTCCACATCCAACTCTATAAATGGAATTATTTTAAATGGGGTTTCCTGAACCAAGCTCAGTTGCTTTGATCACTTTTCCAATACCCTGTGATTCAAAACTAAAACCACGTATCTTACTGATATTAATACTTTATACTGGGAAAGGAGGAACCCAGCCACCAAAGGCTTTCTGCAGTTCTTTAGCAACAGCAATGCACAGATGATCCTTGTACGGTGCAGCAACTACCTGTAGAACAAGAAAGGAAAGGTGTAATCCACTCAAGAGATTTCACTTGTATTTTTTCCACCTTGGCATTCTGAATGATTGTAGGTGTATATCAATGTGAGTAGACCGTATATTTTGAAACATGCTCAAATTACACGAGTTAACAATTTTAAAACATAATGATTGCTGAACTAGTAGTTTATAATTGCTATGTGTTCAGTGCACTGAACAGAGAACTGAAAAGAAAAAAAATCCAAATATCAGTTATGTCCAGCTGCAATAATTACCCTTGACACCATCTCCTGTAACACAGTGCAGCTCATGAGTTTGAATTCTGGACTCATGTCCTGTGAAATGATTGTGGTAATTTTAACCTGACAATTATATGTACCTGAATTCCTAGAGGTAGGCCATCTTTGCACAATCCCATAGGGACTTGAGTAACTGGAAGCTTCAATACATTGAATACAGCCCAGTATCCAAAATTGAATGGGCGTAAGAGAGATGAGTAGTGATAAACAGCAGGAAATGGATGACTTGGATATAGCAGCACACCATTATCACCCAGCTTCCCCTGAAACACAATATTAATTAAGTAGGAGTGCAATTTAAACTCAATTATAAAGTATGCAGCCAACAACTTTACTGGCCAAGTCAATGGTGTTTCTTCTGGGTTGTGATGCCATGTAGACTTGTAGGTGGGGACCAACATTTCTGAGAATTATATTGTTTCCATCAGCTATGAAGACGGAGGAAGTATTTTCCTCTGAAATGTTTATAAAGTCATGGGAAATATGTTCCTCTAAAACATGGGTATCCACCTACAAGTCCACGTATAGTTACTAGAATTGAAAGCCAATGATGTCTTTAACACCATGAGAACCTAATATCTCATTCAGTAACCAAGCGTTCCTGGCTCACACTAAATATAAAGATGATGAAGATTTCTGTCTTCTGGGTTGTTGCGCTGCGTAGTCTGGTCGATGTTAACCAACGTTTCAGAGGTCATACTGCCTCCGTCATCAGGCCCTGATGACAGAAGCAGTATGACCTCTGACACATTGGTTAACATCAACCAGACTACACAGCGCAACAACCCAGAAGACAGAAATCTTCATACTCACCGCTGTGAATACCTCAAACCTTATATAAAGACGATGGCAATGTAAGTTCAAACCGTTTGAAGTAATAAACTGTCATAACTGCTCTTGACTAGGAGCTCAAAATATAACAAACAATTCCAATTCCAGCATCATCATGAAAGTTGATTGTGACCTGAAGCAGGAGCCCGTTACAAAAAGTTTAAGTTTATTCAAACTATGCCTCTATTTTGAAAACAGGAACTCACCAGTATTTCAGACAGCAGGTGCTCTGTAGTGCTTTCTGCCCATACAGGATTTTCTTGGGGTAGTATGTCACGGTTAATAAGATTCATTATTGCAGCAAATGTAAAATCACTCTGACCAAGCAATTTCTTTGGAAGTTCCTTCCAGACTGAAACAGTACCCTTCAAAAAAAGTTTGCATACTTGTTATATCCTTCCATTATTAATATACTTATGGAAAAAAATCCATATGTAGTAGTTCAAACTAATTTTGCTTTATAATAAAATTAAACTCAGAAATTGATTTGTATTGCCAAATTTAAGCTGCTCAGGAGATGAAGACAAAATGATTACAGTGACTGCATTTAATATTCTGGACTGGAATATTTATGTTCTCCAGTGCAACTAGCATAGTTTTCAGTCTCTAACAAAAGGCAGCAAACCAAAATGCTACATGTACCAGATACAAACAATTAACACATTGATTAGTACTTTATGCAGTTATTTTTTGCATATATTAAACTCACCTTTCCATCTGCCAATTCTTTTGAAAAGTCAAATGGCTCTCTTGTCATCCAGTATCTCCACAATTTAAAGCTGTATCTCATTCCTGAAAATTTTACCTGTGAACACATAATATGAATCAAAATAAAGAAAAAAATTGGTAAAGTTGTCCTTGTGTCTAAGCACTATGCCATGAAAGCAGATTGGCAGAGGCTGTGAAGATAAAGCTCCACGTTTTCAAGCCATCAGCACTATACGAAGGCTGAGCGGCCAGTCTCATGCTCTGGCTGCTTTACATCAGCAGATGGGAAAATGAAAAAAATAAAAGAGAGAATATCAGGAGATTGAGTGGGCACCAGATCAGTATGAATATGAGCATATATATTATTCAAGAAGATGAACAAGTAGTGTTATTTTAATTTGTTAGCTTTTTCAAATTCAAGCACTGTCAACATTTTAAAACGCCAATTAAAATGCTGGTGCTTACACAGTAACCTGTTCTTGAACTGTATTAGAACAGAAATTGTAAACTAGACAAGGCTATGACGATTCTGTCTTCTGAGTTGTTGCGCTGTGTAGTCTGGTCGATGTTTACCAACGTTTCAGAGGCAGTATGACTTCTGAAATGTTAGTAAACATCGACTAGACTACACAGCGCAACAACCCAGACGACAGAAATCTTCATACTCACAGCTGTGAAAACCTCAAATCTTACATAGACAAGGCTACTATATGAACTTTTAGTTTTCTAAATGCTTGTATATATAAATTACATACAATAGAAAACTAGCAAAGGGAAGATCAGAATAGCAGAACCTGATTTGTCGGACCAATTACCTCACATAACTCAAGTATGTCTGAGCCCTTAATGTAGAACTGAACTCTACCTTCTGCACTGGTGTTTTACTAAGGTCTTGGAAGTGAGACACTGCCCTCTGCAAGGCCTGCCTCATTTCTTCAGAAACACTACTTGAACGCAAATCTCCAGACTCTTCCATGTAGAAGAACTGTATATCATTCAGAGATACCTGTACATATGTTTCATGTTAGTTACTGTTATCATTAAATCAAAACCATATGTGGTGTATAATACATAGCATATTACTGTAACCATAGATTTGGTTTGATTATAAAATATTGGCATTTATTAAGAATTTTATGAGACCTCTATGGCAGTGGTATTCAACCTTTTTTTGTTCGCGCATCCCCAGATATAATTTCTCTTCAACTTTGTACCCCCAAAGTTGTTGGTGTATAATTCAAGTTATACATAGTATATAATCTACACCTAAAATAAATTAAATAAATTACATTACTGATTATTCAGTGTTTATCATAAAATAATATATACATTTTTTAAATTTCACATACCCCCTAAGATGTCTTCGCATACCCCAGGTTGAATATCACTGCTCTATGGGACTTAATTTAAATTTCAGTTAAACTTAAAACATCATACTTTATAAATTTAAATCAGATGCTTGCAAACACTAAAGAACTGTAAAAAATGTTTTTATGTTTCATTTTAATTCATTCCACAGAAAATTTATGAACTGTGTACCTCAGCTTCTAACTGAAGCTGTGAGATGTTGTTCCCAACCAGTACTTTCAGAAGTGGCAGAAGATCTTGGGCATATCTGCACAATGGCCCAGCTGTCACCATTGTAGTCTCTTCCAGGCCTGTTCTCTTTGTAAGCCCCTTTAAAGGTGTTAAGCCTATAAAATATAAACAAAGATCTTGGTATGATTCTTGTAAGCAAACCCTTCGTCTCATCGCAAGAGATTTCTTCACCTGACAATGGCTGTCTTCTGGGTTGTTGTGTCATGTAGTCCTGTAGAAGTTTACCAGAGATTCAGAAGTCTTTGCTGCCTCCACCATCAAAGCAATTATTTGTGCTACATACTCAACACTGTGAGAACCTCAAATCCTACTCTTCACTTCAGGTTTTCAGGCAAAATTCAGTATGCTTTTCACATGTTCCCATTTTGCATTTCATGCCCTACCATCTCATCCTCCTTGATTTAACAGCCAAACAAAACTTTCTGAAGAGCAAATCATCTGGAAAGCCAAGTCATACATTCACAGAAACAATGATGTTACAGGGGTTATGCCAGTATGTGTAAGACAGCATAAATGCCAAATATGTACACCGTATTAACAGTACCTGTAGTAGGTTTGTGTCCAAAAATCCCACAGTAGAAAGCAGGCATTCGAATAGACCCCCCAATGTCAGTTCCAATGCCCATGGGAGATCCACTAACAGCAATGATACTTGCCTACAGAAAAACAAATTAATTAATTGTATATTCAATAAGAGATAAATCAGCACAAAGTAAAATGAGTCATAAAAAGGGAAATATGTTTCACAGTCCATCCTGATCAGCTTTTTCTGTTATTTCTTAATTCACAATGACACAAGCCAAATTATTACAACTAGAAATCATCTTTTCCTAGTTCCTCAAAATTAATCATTCTTATTTATGGTATATTCTCACTGAAAGTCAAAGAGACTCTTCAGCCTTACTCAGTAACCCATAACCAAACTAAGATGCAAATTACTAGTGACTCTGATAGGTGACACTTCAAACTGTCTGATATGATGTTATATTATAGCATTTTTCAACAGAATTCATATCAGAGTTGAGTTCTGTTCTTTGTGAGTAATCAAACAATGCAACAGAGATCTGCCAATATGCAGCAGAAGCTTAGTCTCTTCAGAAGCTATATAATAAAAGCATTGGCAGCCAAAATGCATTGCTGCAAGTTCACAGTTCTTCCTCAAGTAATGCTATACCTTCAATTCTGATGGAGAAGAAAGGCATGGATTTGTATATCTAACCTCACAAATTAATATGAAGTACTCATGGGTAGTTGAATTTTTGAATGCAAATACAGTTAACAAAATAATTCACATTCACTAAAAACCAGTATTCCAAAATGCTACATTCAGTACTGATTCATTTCCCCTCCTCCAAACTTCCATTACTTCCTTTCAAGCCATAGTACACTTGACTGGCAAAGGCCTCGACCACTAATTTTGTTGAATATCATTATGAAATGGTTTTACTGCATGAAGTTTTCCTCACCTCCCCACCACTTGACCCTCCAACAGTCCTAGTTGTATTGTAGGGGTTCAGTGTCTGTCCATAAACATTATTACGAGACTCACACCATAGATTGTATTCAGGAATGTTAGTCACTGCAACAAGAATACCACCAGCTTTCTTCAATAGTATCACTACATCTGCATCTTCTGTAGCCTTTACATTGCGGCGTGACACTAGGCCTAGTGTATGATGCATACCTGGAGAGAAAATCACCACAGAAGTAAATCAGCTGTAAGCTGAAACCATGTTAGGAAAACAATTCTGACACAAATCTATTTTTAATTTTGTACTTAAAAAAAAATATTTAAGAATAAAACAGGAGCAGAGGTTGGTGAATTTAACTACATACCCACTTGAAAATGTTTTAAAAATTAATAATTCCGTCTACCTTCGAAAGTAATAAGGTTAAGATTGTTTAGTACTAGATGCTGGAGTTGAGTGTCCATGGGTTTTAATTAGTACATAATCATATCCAAACACTACTTAACTGATTAAACACTGTTTATTAAATCAGATAACAGCAATGGTGGTCAGCAGTTACTTCTTCTTCACATTGCATTATCTGTTAACCAGTTTTATTCAACAGAAAGCACCAAAATATCATAAATGAATAAAGAAGGAAAAAGTGCTGTGTGTGTATTTATAACACTACAGAAATGATACATAAAATGTTTGGGAATAAACTGGACAGGAAAATGTCTGTAGTCTAGAAAGATAAAGTAAGTGGGGGAAGGAAAATTTTAAATAATGAGTTCTGTGATTGATGCACTTCAACTCTTATTATTAGGATACTGAATCAAGCTTTTAATAGGTGGGACATATGACTTGTGCAGGGAAGACAAGAAATGCAAACACAATATTAATGAAATAATCTATTGCAAAATAGTCACTAGGGAGGAAAAAATTAAGCTAAATCATATAAAATGTGCTGTACTGATGACAGCTGAACAGAAATAGCTTAGGATCATACCTATTGGAGGCTATGATATCAGTAATGCTGAACCTTTGATTTCTATGAGTACTACCAGATTGTAATTAGGTATCTGATCTGAAAGTAGTGAAGAAGCAAACAAACCTTTTACTGCAGTACTATCCTTTGTAGAGAAGGGCACTCCAAGGAATGGTTTTTGGAGCTTCAGCTCATCAACAGTTAAAGTGGTGGATGCTAGAAAAGTATCTGCATCCCTTGCTTCCTGCAGAGCAACTTCGTAACGTTCATCCACTACAGAATTAATCAGTGGATTCACTTCGCAGATGCGATTGATGAATCCCTGAACTACCACTTCTGCACTCACCTATTTAAATAAAATTCCATCAATGTCTGATGGTAACCAAGTAAAAACTGTTAACCATTTTTGAACTGAAACTGTAGCCATATGCCTACTAAGTAGGCAGCTCTAAACTCTCTCTTATACTGTCAAAGTATTTTTCTTTGAAACTAGATTAATGGAGCAAATTATTTAATAACCTTGAGGGACAGTAATATGTGTTGGTATGAGGATACCTTGAAAAATAAATACTACTGGAGATGGGACAATTTAATTTCTTTCACATAAATATATTCATATAGCTGAGTAAAATTCCTCATTCATAATAAAGAAAATAGTAATACTCATGTCATAAGAGATTACCTCTTTGTTCCTAATTCTTTCAGCTAGAGAGACAGCACTTTCCATAAGAAGAGATTCCTTAACAGTTGGGATTTGTGTCCGTTTAGAGTCATTGTAGTAAAAAGAAAAACATAAGTCGATAATACAATCGATTACTGAATGGATGAATACCCAGAGATTCATCAGGCATTTGCAGAGTGGCTTGAGCAACACATATTTTGGCCTGCGAAAGGACTCTTGTCTTTCCTGTAATCAGTAAAATAAAGTATTTCACACTAACATAATATTGTGGGATCTTTGGGAAAAATTCCACATTCTTAATCAGAAGAACCAATCCTCAGTCCAAGAGAAAACCAAAAATTTGGCTTTCTCTATGAAGATTCCGAACTCTCACTCAAAGGGGTCCTAGATTCAATTCCTGGTCAGACTTAGGTGCATATTCTGTACAAATAGTTAACAGTTCTCACTGCATCAATGTGAAAATTTTCAGTTGTAAGTCCCCCTGGCCAGCCATAACATCATTCATAGTATCACTGGGAACACTGAAATCTACCTTATGGATATGGATATTGTCACCTTTGAAATGATTTCCATCAACTTATGTGGAAGGCTGACCATTTATAAAAAAGTCACTGATTGTGGTCTTCTGGGTCATGATGCTATGTAACCTTGTAGGTGGTTACAAATGTTTTAGAGAAACATATCACCTCAACCATCAGGTTTGATTCCTATTTATAAGAATACATGATGTCACAACCCAGAAGACCTTGAACATCTTTACAGTCATGAGAACCTTGAACCTGAGATAAGGAAGTCCATTTTCATTTTAAAAAAACAGTAACTGTTTAAATACTGCACAAAACTTATGTAAGACTTAATAAGCAATACAAATATATGATTTTAATGTTGTAACCTACAGAACGCATTTTAATACTGTAAGAATAAAAACATGCAACCACATTAAATTGTGATATTCAATATTTAATATAAGATTTTCCAGTGTGGACACTTCTGTTCTGATTTACTGACATGTGAGAATATAGCTAAACTAGGTTGCTCTGAATAGTGACCAATGGCATGCTTTCTTTTTTTTAACATTTTTGTACTGTTAGATTCCAGTATGAAAGAGTTTATTAGCTTCAACCTTCACCATGGTGTTCCACAAAAAATCTGGAACTTCACATTGAGAAATTAAAAAAAGAAAACTTTTACCAACGAATCATCAAAATTTTGACAGTAAAACTCCATTATGTAATTTATCTGTCTTGAATTATGGCCACAAATACACTGCGTTTCTGAATTTTTTACCAATACCGCAAACTTTCTTTGTGTGCAATCAAATTGGTGTCAATGAACAATACATTGGCAATAATTTTCATAACAGAAAGTCCATGTTAATTACTATACATTAACACTATTTTTTGGGAAACCGAACACGGATGAGGTTAAGAAGAGCAATGTGTCCAATTTTCCGATTTCTGCAATAATCAGTTTTTAATACTGCTGTTTTTCTGGACTTGTTCCATCATTCCGTTGTTTTCCAAAACTAGACCACTACGTTTCGGAACCTTCCTTTGCTCCCATAACGTCGTAATCTTGTTTTATTATGCGAAACAACGAAGACCAGAAAAAACAGCAATATTAATGCAACGCACCATCCTAAGAAGCCTTTATATATGACATGCGCCAAATGCACCCAATACAAATAAACATAATTACTGTATAAAAGTAAAGATACCTTTCGAACATCAGACGAAGCCATTTTTCCATGCACAAAACTTGTTTTAGTTTCTTGCTTATATCATTAACTTGGTAATAAGCATAAACAAAACCTACCTGTGATATTAACCAAACACAACGGCGATGTGACAGTAGCCCAGTCGGTAAGAAGATTAACTACTCTTCAACCATCAAAATTCTACCCCCTTTCACTACCTATATATATATATATGAATAATTTGTAAACCCTGATATCGTAAGCAATCTATGTTGCTGAGGAACGTGGCCCAACATTGGGGTAAGTGAGTATAATACTTTTCACATAACTTTCATCCAACAGTTGAAGGTATCCCACCAACATGAGAGTGCCTTCAAAATGGCAATTATAATGAGGATTTCATCCACATCAATCCATAATACCCCTACTGAAAAGTAGTAAACCATAAATTAGTCTAACATTCATAAAGACTGAGTTTTCAAAATTCTGAATGAAAAACATTGCCAACCGCCGACTTCTTGCGACATCTCTTGTGAATCGAGCCAAAATGTCTCCAAGCATGCAATTTGCCATATTACAGCAAGTGTTTTATGGTCAGGTTGTTTGTAGTCAGTTCTACATTACAATTAGAAAATTCTATCCCATTTTCAATGACATGGCCATTAAAACATCAAGTCCTGCATTGCGTTGATGAGACGACCATATCCAACATCTATTCGATATTCTTATAACAATGCTATGCTGTCTTCTCCACTTACCTTGTGACACAACTGCCTGTTACTCCTTTTGCAAATGTGCCCACTACTTTGACGAAGTGTCGATGTTATCCTGGGTTGCTTTTCCCCAGTTGCAAGGCAAATGCCTGGGTATAATTCAAGAGAGGCACGGCCTGCTATCACCAATCATGGAGGCCTTCAGCCGAAGCGGCCCTACCCTCTCTAGGTTAAAACCACAGAGAACCAAATATCCAAAATCCTTTGCACAAGGGGCACGTTGCCTGACGGGATAACCTCTCATCAACAGCAACAGACCCGTTTGAATAGTTGAGGCTCCAGCCATAACAAAACCCCCGTTAGCTTAAGCATATGCCCGTTTTAGTTATAAGGCTCTGTTTACCATTTCCGGCAATGTGTTTCATACGCAGGAATGGCGTTACCTAGCAAGAAACGGTATCTTGCACTTGAGCAGTACTCTGCCTTTAGTTAGCTTTTTGGTTGGTTATCCTGGGTTGTCTCTCTGTTTGGACTCTAAAAACACAGTCGAAGATATTGAGAACATAAGCTCACTTCATCGCCTAAATTTAGACTGCTCTGATACTCATATCCATCTACAGAAACCTTAAATCCTTCTGCCACAAATGACAATATTAAAATAGTTCCTGGAAGGGTATATTATTGTGAAACAGAGTGGGTCTTTCCCAAAGAGTTTAATAACAAACAGTGTATTATTATTTTATTTACTCTACTGTTACATCAAATTCACCTAATATTTTGGATTATATAAATGTAATCGAGTACATTGCAGGAGGGGAGATGATGCCACAGCTCACTAAAACCAATGAGAGGGACAATGAGAATCTTCTCATGATAACTCCTTGTGGAACTCACTCATATAAAATCATTAAATAAAAAATGCATATAATATAAAAAATTGGTATATACTAAAATATAAAAACCAACGAAACTTCAATTTTACCCAAAGACAAATATTTCCCCTACAAATACCTTAATACATACAGTATGGCAATGAAACTGTGAGCACAAAGTAAGCAAAATATATGTTCGTTAGCTGTGTGTATTTGTAACTGTCAATGAAACACAAACTGCATATACTGCTATGATTGAAAATAGTAAAATTGAAGTTTCAACTTTTATACCTTCAAAGAAACACACATTAGCACAGAATCTCATACAAAGCATAAGAACACTTTCTGATCATTAAAACATTGTCAAGAATGTTAATCTATTAGCAGCCAAACAGTGTAGTTATCCCACGGCATTTAATAAAAATTCTTTTGGTCAATTTCATTTTGCCTGTATATGCAACAAGAGTGTGATATGTGATTTTGGACCCTTGTACTGGTTTGGTTAAACATGTTATATGCAGGTTTCAGTGGCCATAATTTTCATCTTTGCTACTAATACAAATAATCCTGCATGGTAGACCCATAGCATAACTTTCTGAATTATTTGATTACAATACAAAGCAGCCCTTTATTTGGAGCAAGTATTGTTGCAACATGCATGTACCCTTATGTGGATAGTGATTTCTCTAGTTCATTCACACTTGCCTGCTGCAGATTGACAGATTCTAACTATTGGCAAATTTGCCATTATCTTCATATTTCAAAGAAAACTTAAATTATGAAGTCTGGAATCTCCAATGCGGTGTCTTGTCAATTAAACTAATGTAAAAAATTAAAGACTAGAGCCAGGTGAATCTTACTCTCACCCCTACAAAACAAAGTGACAATCACATAATTATTGTGGATCAATATGTTTATGGCCCTAAAATCTATTAGTAACATGGCTTAACCCAGACCTTTCAATACTGCAAAGTAAAAATTGTAGAAATTACTCTTTAAAAAAACACCTCATACTAAAACAGAACAAATAAATGTACTCCCACCTGTTACAATTTGTTCTGAAATTGACTAAAAGGATTTGTAATGATAAGTATATACAGAGAACTGCATTACTATAAAATATTTTTAAATGTATTACTATCATCTTACGTTTCATTATATTTTGGCAGGCATGGTCAACGCTACCTACCTACATTCAACCTTTCGGCCTTTTACACACACACCTTTTCCGTAAAGTGGTGTTTGACATCTTGACCAAACCAAAATATGAAGGGAAAATTATATTTGTAGCTCACTTTCACTCGAAACCAACTATATTTATTTTTCTTTCTCACTTTTCATTATTCATTATCAGTTGATCTTCATGCTAGGAAATATACAAACTGTGCACAAAGTGCTATACTAATGCTGTTAATTCAAATTTTTTTTGAAATTAGACCAAGGTGTTGCTACTGATAAAGTAAATGCAGAAAAAATACTTCAATAAACAAAATTGCTTATCCAAATTATAACTGTAAAGAAAAGGTGTGAATGTACAGCACAGAGTAACAAAACTGCCATACAACTCGGTGCACCAGCAATAAAAAGGGAACAGAACTGGAATGGAACATGTGTATTCTACAAAAATCATCCTATTTCTGCAATTCTCTCTCCACCTACTGATATTTCATCATTTCTTTTCAATTAATTCCAGACTACAAAGACAAAGAAATGAACTGAAAACAAGTTTCAGAAACATACTTAAAAAATGCAATGTAGAACAGCAGAACTTAACTGGTAACAACCCACTGTCCTTGGGCAGGTGGCAATGCAGCTCACCAACGAAGAATAGGCAAACCAAGGAACCAGTAAAGTGAGCCACAGAGTTGCCAGCGTGTCACCCTCATAGGTGAGACATGCAGCTGACATCATTACTTCATCAGGCTACTGTTCCAGGGCAAAGCACCTCAAGAGATCTTGTTGCGCCACCACATGTACAGGAGGTTTGGACTGAGACCAGATAAAAGCAACAAGAGAAGAGAGAGGACCGCATGTGATAGTATCATTGTATGCCAGCAATCAAGCCAACGTCTTTCCACAGAGAAAAATACATTTGAAACAGCAAAACATGAACCACACAGTTTCAAACACCAACACCCCTTGCCTTGCCATGACATACAATGGCTGCTTTGTGAGGCGCAGGAAATATCTGCAGCCCCAGAGGTGACACTAAAACTAGTTACACATGAGCATTTAAGGGAACTACAACAAAATACACCACATTGTTTGCTAACACTACAACTACACTGGATGGGAAATTTAATGTGGGGCAAGGGAGAAGGCCCCAAAAGGCACCGAGCGACGAACGGGTTACTTCCATCCGTGCTGCGGGCCACTGCGGACCCTCAGCTTGGGAATTTGGAGTAGAAGGCATAGGTGAGGTCATAGTTCTTGAAGCGACAGTACTGGATATCATGACGCAGCCAATCTCCAAAAGCAGGTGTCTTCTCTAATTCCCGAGGGAATTCTGCAGCAGGAGATGTCTGCAATGAGATAATTTGTTACATTGCAGATGAATGCGTCTCAATATAAAGATCTACCACATGGTGCCTACCAAGAGACTTCATTATGGAAAAACAACTCATTCCTGTTATTTATCAATTAATTTTATATATAAATTAAATTTATGAAATTAAGGGACTTTCAATTATGTGCAGTACAATTAAAAGAACACTACAGAAAGGCAAGAACAGTGATTCTGAAATATTATAAGTGATGGGTATACACAAATGATAAAATGGTGAAATCTTAACAAAACAATTAAATGTATTAGAGCTAGGTAAAGAGGATCTAAGTATATATGAGAAATGACATAACAGAAACCAAACAATCATTACACACACACAAAATCCACAGTAAAGGACCCGATTACCAATTGAATTAGGTTACACCACTTGAAAGAGTGAAGAAAGCAGATATGCTAGTATATAAATATGATCAAATAAATTATAAGATTATTTCAAACATGTAAAAACCCAATTCTGATCATAAAATTCTGAGTTGAAACAATCTAATGCAGTGTTTCCCAAAGTGTGGTACACAGAATAATTTAGTGGGGTCCAAGGCATAATATATCAAATATTGTTCCAGAGTTCCATCTGCTGTTAGACAAACTCTAATATAAAGAAAACTGAACAAGTTCCTTTTTTCTTTTTCTTTAAAGTACGCAAGTCCCTTCTTACCTTATTTGCAAATACTGTAAGAACAAATTTTCCAGGATGAAAAGTCTCTAATACCCGTGAGATCACATCTTTGTATGAAGCTTGTGGCACATTGCTCTCAAAGCTGACGTAAGAGAAGTCCGGCTCCGGAGTGATGTGAATAGTCATGTAGCAGCCCTGCAACAAAACAGATATGTCAACAAAGAATCTCAAACTCAGCATACTGCCAACAGATTAGGTAGTCCATGCCTGAAACTTACACCCTCCATGCAGTTATATATTCAGGTCTTCACTAGCCAGATATCAACCACCTTTTCCCCTTCCAAAGTAATATTTACTATTTGATCCCTGGAAATAAACAGTTTTAACTTTACTAAAGGGAAATATGGCATCAGAAATGCATAATCAAATATTATAGTAGGATTCAAAATCCTCACAGCAGAGATAACAGACATGGCTGTCTTCTGGATTGTAGCACCATGTAGTCTGGTAGAAGTTTACCTTTACTTCAGAGGTCCTTGCTGCCTCCATCATCAGGGCTATGAGTAAATGAAAGAGGAAGTATGGGCCTTTGAAGAAAAGGTAAACTTCTACCATACTACATGCTGCTACAATCCAGATGACAGTCATTTTTACACCGATAAAGTGTCAGTGTGTACAAGAAATACATTGGCATTCTACCCCACAAGGCTAGCGTTGGTACCACTTTAAAGCATGGGCAGCATTAAAAGGAGTTACATCAAGAATTTACAATTCAAAATTGGATTTCATGACATGACTTGGGCTGTTAGACTGTATTAAATTTGCATTACTCTTTTTAAAATATTAAGATATTGACAGAAATGTCCAAGTATAATGTGCATTATAATAATAACTTTATGTTTCAAGATGCATCAAAAAGCCCAAGAAACTACAAAAGTTAATACAAACCTGTCTCCACCTGTATATCCAGTCCATCACATTCTCCTAGATTTCACTATCCTACTACTACAGGAGCCATATAGACTAGAAGTTCTTTTTTATACAATAACCTAACTGCTCACATGCTACATCCTTCTTAGGTCAAAACATTTTCCTGAGCATTCTGTTCTCAGACATTTATAATTTGTTTTCTATGAAATGAGAAATAATGTTTCATACAAAACAAACCGGTAAAATTAATGGTCGGTTTTTCTATCCTATCATAATTATGTCAAATATGAAAGGTCATGTCTTCAGAAAGCATTCAACTTTTCGTTAACGCAAATTTTTTTTAGAATGTAAAGCAACAAGGCAGCAGACTGAAATCCAATATTTAGCTTCCTGTCTGATAGCAATAACTAATTAATCAGTGGACAGGCGTGCAAGTTTCTCTATACCCACAACAAAACCTGTTAAAAAAATTAAAACATATAAAAACGGTATTTGTGTAAATTTCTGTTTTCTGAAATGTGGACCATATAGAACATTAGCATAGAAAAGAAACGTATACACATAATTTTTATCAACACTTTACAGTAAGTTGCATTATTTAACTCTCTAAGTAATGTGATAGTTTTGCAACCATCTGGTTAAGAGCAATCAAGGTTGTAAGGCAAGGGTTTCTGTCAACATAAAGTGACACAGTATTACTAAAATGTATGTGGGCTGCAAATGGCATATAGACAAGCCGTGGCTTGATAACTCTTGATGTAGGATACACTAGTGCTGGAGGATAAAAACTTTGGCAAAAAAAGACAAAACATGCAAAATTTTTGTTTATCACTACACAGAGAAGTGTACACAGATACCAAATTAATTTATACAAATAAAAAACATACTTACATTCTTAGAGATACCATTCATGGAGTAACCACAGGGCTCAAACAGAAAATCGTCAATCTTCATATTTGGGATCAGCTTCTCAATCCCAGATTTCTGAAACAAAACATAATACACATACCTAAAAGGTTGCATACTTTAAATACAAACAACAACTCTGATTACAGAATTTGTCATGCCACCAACTGTTGCTGCAATATTCCCAGCTGTAACATGTCCAGAAATTGTCTACCAGCTGAAAATGGACTCAAAATAAATAAATTAAAAAAAAACACAGCAACATCCAAATAAGTAATGACAATGGTTTCACAAAGTATTCTGGCTGTGATATTCTAAAATGTCATTGTCATACCAGAACATTACCTTTATACACAAACACATTTTATATACAGTATAACATGTTTCTGCTGGTGATATTATGGCATCCCGTCAAATCTTATTCTAAGATTAGCACTGCATAATGAAATGCATTCAGATTATTACCATTTCCAGCTTTGATAGAGAGATGGCAGCTGCAGGCAGTTGCCGCAAAAGACCATTGATGGGTCAGTTCCGTTTCGCCAGGCGACAGCAGTTATTCCCGAAACATTCAAGTCAGGTCTTGCGTGGGACCACCTCTCTACTCTACCGTTGGAGGCAACATGAATGCACAGGACGTAAACCAAATGTCACCACTTTAACTGCAAAATCAGAGTCAGGGTGTCTACCAGATCCATCCAGCAAAACCCCCATACCATAAGAGCCAGGTAAAATACGTATGTACCACTTCAAGGTCTAAACTTCATTCACACTACTACCAAATCAAAGAATGCATGCATGTAAGTGGTTAGTCACAGCTAATTTATCTTCAGGACCTCACGTAGCAATATCAGTAATTATCGTCAGTCTGTTGCAGCCAATCCTCTTGACTTACCATATCAATCACAATTTTATTTTACTTGAGTATATTGAAAACATATTGTGATTTCCAATTTATATTCTTCAGAAAAAACTGCACCCCAACCACGTTTATAAATTCATATCCACAGTTTTGAGTAACTGACCTATATCACGTAAGATACAAGAGTATGTATTCATACAACCCGTATTTCATTAAGTTCAAATTACATGTTACTTTTCTATGGTCGTCTATTAACCCCATCTACAGAGAACTTTAGTAACTAATACCGATATATATGGTACCTACAGGTTGTAAAGTCGGTTGTCTTTTGGTGATAAAAGTGTTCTTGAAGATAATATTTCAGTGTGAATGGTTAAAGTTATCAACAGCACTATACTATTAGTGTGTACAGGCCAGACAGCACTGACATAAGCTTCAATAATAATAATAAAAAAAGTAATCCCAATAATTATAGGAGTAACTGGAACTGTCTCCAAGTCACTCAGAAAATATTTGGCGAGCATCCCAGGCAAACACAACATCAGGGAACTTCAGAAAACAGTCATTTCAGGATCTTCATACATAATTCGAAAGATTCTGTCATAAAATATATAGTCAACCCTCACAATAAAACTATATAATACATGTAACACATATTAAAAACGAAATATATTTCGGAAATAGCTGCTGCACTTTGTACCTCAGGGGCAAGGTCTGTCTCGGTACATGGAAGTAAATACCCTATAAAGTGGTGGACAGAATAATAATAATAATAATAATGAGGTATAGAAGAAAAAAAGCACTTGACTTCACCTGTGCATAGGAGGAACCAGATTATCAGTTCAATGTGTGCCAAGACACACGAATCTTATACTGAAAATCTCTAAATTGTAGGAGCAGTACATCAAACTTGAACTTTCTTATCATTTCAGCACCATATCTTTCACATTAGATAATTTATAGTGATACTGTGAAGATCTGCAGTCGTGTGAATTATGAAGCAACTTGTACAAGATGACCTAGACGGGTTATCACCATACTGGACTATGACAAGCCGTCAGATTTATGCTAAGAACAAAGCTGCATGTAAATGGTGTTTACCTAATGTTTATTATTAGAAGTTTTAAGAATAAAAGGTGTATCTCATAGATGCCTTATGTAGCAGTTACAATTAACAACATAAATATCAATGTGATGGTATCAAATAACGCAGAACAAACTTGAGAATTATCTTGTGTTTCTATTCGTAAAACCTCAGGGAAATTATAGTGCTTCACAAATGTGATAACAGTCTCATTCACCTGTTTATCCCTTTTCAGATTTACAAAAAAATAATTTAATTAAAAAGCAAAAACACATTCATTTCATTTGTAAGACTAAGAAAAAATTAATATGCAGCTAGTACAAGAGTGAATGCAATTTTATCATGTTCTATGTAAGTCACGAAGAATGCATGGGGAATGTTCCTACATATCAACAAAGCTGGACAGAGTACTTTACTCAGTTACGGTACTTGCAGCTTCATATCCTAATCATAATGGCTCTATGCATGAAAAGTCATCATTTAATGGGGTTCTGGAATCTTTCAATTTAACCAAAAGATTAGCAAACAGTAAAACTCTCTATAACAATCACATCAATTAATTTGGAAAGAATGCTATCAAAAATACTGTCATGAGATGAAATCAATAACAAATTAAATAAATATACACACATACAAAGACAGACAAACCAAAAAAAAAAAGCTACTTTAATGAAATGAGCATTTGATGTGTGTTCTCCCCACTGGTAGACACCCTGTTGTAATTATGCTCTTGTGCACAAGAGGCAGCATCACTGCCATACTAACCTGGGTAGCCTCTGCAGCCGAAGATGACTCTTCCCGCGTAAAAATGCTCATCACTTCCAGATCCAGATCTGACATTAGTATTTCCAGTGTCTGGTCAGGCTCCTGATACGGCTGCTTGTTGTTTTCTCCTTCCAGTGGGTTCAGAGTGTAGAGGTACCAACAGTCATGATTTACAGTGCCCAAACAGTAAGCAGCACCATCTGTTTAATTAAAAACAAACACCCACAGCCTAATTATTATTATTATTTAAGCCAAATTATTGTGCACAAAAAAAAAGCCTGACACCAGTAAGCAAATATATGATTATACACATTACAAAACCCTTCAAATCCTATTTCTGAGTGGAACACGAGTAGAAGTGACTAACAAATGGTTCCAGTGACATAATGAACATTGATTTATTCAACCGAATTGAACATAATCTTTAAATGCTGCTCTTAAACAAATGTCAGCACTGCTACTTTGTAACATTTCCTCTGTCAAGGTTGCTTCCTAAATGATTAATTATTTTAAGTCCATCTCCACACCACTGTCTGATTAACCACTTCCATATTAAAATTTACTACTAATAACATTATTAAACCTATCATTCAAAACTATTTAATAAACTAATTCTAAAATATTTCCACTTAGGCAAAACTCCTAATGCTTTATATATGTCAGATGCAAGTAAAAGTTTGATGACAACAGATGGCAGTTTCAAACACGCCATGACCAAAACATTAGCTACCCATAATTCAAGTATCAATTCTTAAATGCTCAGTAATACGTCAATTTATTTTCACTTAAGTAAGCCCCTCTTATCAAGCACCAAAGAACTGAACCAAGGATTATCAATGGCAGGAAGCTTCACTTTGAGCCTCAATGTGGGTCGGTGTCTGGAGGATCATTATTTTTCAGCAAGCACATTCAATACATACTAATCTGAAGTCCACATCAGTGTTTATAGTGCCTATGGTAATAGTGAAAACATACAAAATAGTATTTCATAAAACTGAAAAATTACAGAATATTTGAAGCTGACAGTCTTCTTTTCACCGTGTAGTTTTGTAGAAGTTTACCGATGCTTCATAGGTGCTTGCTGCCTCCATCATCAAACAGATTTTCATGAAATTGACAGTGGCAAGTTTTTGCTAAAATTTGCCAACACATTCCAATTTGGGTTAAAACCAAGCAACAATAATGAACACTACATAAATGCATGTCTGAATGTGGAACTGAGTAAGTGTAGAATCCCCAGACTAGCTGAGCATGGTTACCTGTGGAATCCCCAGCCATCTAGACAAATCCGAATTCATAGGTGCTAACTGCAAACTTCAAACACCAAAGTGAGATGAACGCAATAAAACTATCACAATATTTGCACATTTCCTAGCTTGTTTTAATGAAGGGCGAAAAATTGTCTTCACAAGAGAATCTAAAAATATATGAAAGATGCTCGGGACTTCTAATTCAGAAATACCTTTAAAAAAAGTGTCCAGCAAAGCAACTTCTTGTTCAAAAGCTTGATGTGGACTCATCTGAAGATCAGGTCTTTTGAAGTTCTTACGAGAATAAAATACATCCTGATAAGAAAAAGGAATAAGTATAAGTAACTCAACATAATACCTAAAAACACCAAATCTAATTCAACATTACAGTATAAATGACAATTACAACTGCATAATGTGCCTAAACCAAGAAAGTTACTCTCCCCAAAACAAAACATTACAAACAACAAGCAAATGTTTCACTGCAGCCTCTGACAACACTGGTGAGTTGGCATGTGTCAGACAGCAACTACATGATTCAACTGTCTGTCAGTCACTGGGATTAACTTAAGTTTTAGATACAGTTCTTCGTTTGTCAAGAAATAAATAAAAAAAGCTGTTCAACCTATTAACAAGACAAATGGAAGTGACTAGTGATGGGCCCTGGATGCCCTTATACAACCCAGAAACAAACAAAAGTTTCCAGGAAAGGTCTAGGGTCAAAAAGTGTCAATTACAATTCATTACTTTGTAATTACCTGTAAACATTTATCTTCCATCCTAAGAGACATCATCCAATTCATAAAATAGTACAAAAACAATAACAAATTTTTTAGCGGTGATGTAAAATAAAAGCAAGATTTTCTTTTCCTAATTGAAAAAACCAATGACTGACCCATAAATTTTAATTTAGTATGATTTAAATGCCCTCTGGTAAATGTTAATAACACCTCTGCATTATTACCTCCACTTCATCAAATCCAGCATATTGTTCCACCAACAACATGAGAGGCTTCAGGCACTGAAGTGGAGTCGTGGTGCCACATGTTTTCAAGATGAAACGATGACGAGCCACAAACATACTGCTCTCACTAAAAAAGACCCAGCATAAATTCACCTACAAACTGAAAATAATGGCATTTCTTTAACTTCTACAAAATTAATTTGTTTATTACTTCATAAGGAGATATTTTTATATTTTCCCAGGCAAATGTCAAATTTATTCTTCCTCAATCTGAGCTACCTGACAGGTGATACTTCATTAAAACCCAATGATACAAGGTAAACTGTAAAACTATAAAGCTAGTCATTGTATTAATATCCTATACCCCTTTATAAATCTTCCATTCCAAATTTTACCTCTTTTGTACTAATAAACAACCAAATAAAATATCTTACTGTTTTTAAGATGAATGGCTGTCACTCAATTATGGGTCCAATTTATATCACAAACATGTTTTCCCAAGACAACGTAATGAAATAAGGATAACCCCATATTTACAGAATGCCTACCTACCAACTATCTCTCTCTCTCTCTCTCTCTCTCTCTATATATATATATATATATATCCCCTGGAGCTCTAAAACAGCAATGAAATACCAGACTACATGGCACTACAAACCAGAAAACAGTCATCTTCAAATTTGCCACCACAATAATCTGAAAAACAGCAAATATATTGTTAAAAACATTACAACATACAAAATTAAATTGAACAGCAAACTCACCTGAGCACATATGCATCTACTTGATCATTGCATACAAAGCTGATGACTTCACAGCGAACAATTTTCAAAAGACTCTCCAGTTTTTGTCTACAAGAAAAACAAAATTTAACTTGCTTGAAAATAATTATAAAGACAGATTTTGAATGAGGTTTCAACAGCTAATTCTACAAGAGGTAAAATATTTTTCCCCATAGAAAGATGTATGTAGTCAGATATGACAAATTGAAAGCCAAAACCACCATACCATGCAGGTAAGAAAAATTCCAAACATGTTCTTTATACCACATTCTATGCACAAAGTTCTTAATGTCACCTACAGACTATGTCACTGGAAGTCACGACATCATCACACATGCATGGAGGACAGCAAGTAATGGCTTCTTCATCATTCCACTTCACAAATTTGTACAGCAGTCATGTAGATATTTCAAAACAGAGAAAATTAAAAAGTGTAATTTTGGGTTAACTTCAAACAATGTAAAATTCTTAAAGACCTGTCCAGCTGTTCTCTCTTACATGGATACAGATAAACATAAATGGAATGACCTTCAATGCCATTTAGATCATGCATGCATGAAGAACTGTGGGTAATGGCATCCTCACTGTCCAACCTCATGAATCTCAGCATCCATTACACTGGTATTACCAAATGCAGGAAATTAAAGAATATCACTGTAGACTAGGTTCCATTGGCACAATCTTTGTATAAAATTTCATGCAACTCAGTTTGTCACTTCCTAAGTTATTGAACCCACAAACCTTGGGTCCAGTGGCGAGCATGCATTTCCTTTCTTATGTCTACTAAGAACAGACATTAAATAACATCATTAAATGACCAACACAAAGTAGAAACATCTTAAAAGGATAAGGAAGAAGAAGGAAAATTAAATTACAACTTAAAATTTCATTATGACACCAAATCTAGGAAATATGATGGAGAACAAAAATAATGCTGCTACCCACAGGCTCTTAGAAAAAATGTTGTATAAATCTTCAATGTCAATGTAATGGTCATGTTAAAGAGAAGACTTTCCCTTTGTCACCCAATATTTACCAAGTTTTCTGCTCTCAGATGACTGAACACACTGACATTAAATATATTTCTTTTTAATATTGGAATGTTCTATAATGTAGAAATGCAAACTGATTAATTTTAAAGAAGGTAAATCACATATGGTTAACAGCGATAGTACTGCATGAAAAACAACACTTGTGCAATATGTGCCAATTGGATAAAATAACATATCATCGATACCACCTCTTTGGTAATCAGGCACCTTTTACGAAACATCTTTTATTAATGCTTTTTCTACTAAGATATAAAAGTCAAGGCAATACTTTGTAATAAAAAGTCATTTCAGGGAACCTGAAAACCTTTCACCCAACAGCAATGCCGGAATTTCTTGCCTCCGGCGAAAGCTAAAATCACATATAGCCGGCATTACACGATTAGCCCTCTTTCTCAATTCCGAACCAGTTCTTATTTAAAGTCTTGAAATATTACTTTTAAAAATGCTTCATTATATATTTCTGACCTTCAATTCTTTGAACGTGACGAAAAATCATTACTGTGCTATCTTACAGAGCATGCCTCGTCTCAACTTCCACCATTTTTACAAAATCCTAGGAACTAGAAACCGGGTTATTACGTACAATCACGGCATACATATGCAAAGTTTACCTTGGTATGTTCCGTAGATCACACTGTTTAGTATTTCCATCAGTTCTGGTGAACCAGATTTCCAAAAGTTTTTCCACACCCTCGAAGAACTGAACACCAGCACTACCTTCTGATTCCGCCATCCCCAGACCGCAGCAGGCTACCCTCAAACGCGACTAGCTGCCGTAAAAACACACAGACCCACCAGATGCGCAGTGACATAGAAGAGAACCTGACCTGCACATATCGACTTATGCGCATGCCACACATAAAACCATGGATGTATTTTCCATAGATAATCTACCTATTATTTGTGCCACTAAACGCGGTTATGTAGAACGCAGATAACCAATGTGTTGCAAGATCGGTATGTTGTACGCTAGATGTCGATATCAGTCTATAAATGAAAACGTTTTCAGCTTTTTCCATAACCAACATAATTTTCTTCTGAACCCAATGGTGAATGCGTTTAACGTTTAATCTTAAATTGCCCTTTTCATTAACGCCCCCCCCCCCAAAGTCTGAAACAAATTCAAATGTACACAGCCAGATTTAAACGATTTTCCTTACATTCACAACCGTGGAGAGCATCTGTCTGTATGGGTAAAACAACTTGTGAATATATAAACCCATTCTTATTAAACTGATAGTGGAGAATGTTTTAATTATCTGGGCAGGAGAAATCCACTATGGTCACATCATTACCTAGCAAGACAACAAAACCACACAAAGGCCACTGAACCCAACGCTCAACATAAATGATACCATACATAAAAGTCACAGTCAAATTCTTGTGACTGCCCAAGCTGCTACTAGTCATTATGCTTGGTTTGATTTTGGGAATCTTCTTTTCAATGGCAAAACCAGATAATTTTCTAGAGTAAAAAATGACAGAACAGCATCCAGATAATAAAATCCTTATTAACATAAAATTTTACACCATCACAAAAGTACATAAATTTTATGGCATTCCTTTCATTTTCATCTTCTTATTCACCAACATATCTTCATCCATTGGTTCGATAACAGATCCCAGTTTTGTTACAACTGACGGCTTTATTAGTTTACGATGTGCAGTTTGTGGAATCCAAGTGTTACCAATTGGAGCACGAATACTAGCTTCAAAGTCCTTTACACTTGTAAACGGGAATGGCAGTTCACTTACCTGAAAACAGAAAGAAAGAAAAAACATAACTTTGATTTGAATAAAAAGTTCTGATATGTATTTTTTGAAGACCCCCTTGAAGACAAATTTTTTGAAGATGGGTGTCTTCTGGGTTGTTGCGCCATGTAGTCTAGTAGAAGATCACAGACGTTTCAGAGATCATACCAGACTACATGGTGCAACAACCCAGAAAACAGCCATCTTCAGACTCACCGCCATAAAAACCTCAAATCCTACATTTTTTGTTGGCTCTTCAAATTTCTGGTGTTGGAGAACATGAATGACAATAAACACAGCATATTTAAATGTTACATGATTAAGTGCCTTTTTAAAACATACTAATTTTATGCTGTGTGAAATTCTATCACTTGAAAATCAATGTCAATTGTGGTCTTCTGGATGCTGACACTGCAGTACTTTTATTTGTGCTAAAGTCCATAGTTTTTCCTTACTGGTTGGTGGCTAAAGCAACAGTGAACTAAGAAAAACTGAAATGACACTGAAGTTCAACAAAATCTACCAAATGGTCACACTAACAACAAGCAACAAGCAGCAAGCTTAGGTTACCCTCCAGCTGAAGGTTTATATATAACATATGCTCGACAGCTCTAAAATCAGAAGTTGTGTAATTTCTAAAAAAACATTTGGCAGAAAGCACAGCAATAAAACCCTGACCACAAGCAGCTGTTGCTGACTAATTATGCTTTGCTACATAAACGCTCATCTCCCTTAGATTGCACTGAAATGGGCTATGCAATATAGCAGTGTTGCGCAACATTTCTACACTTGCGACACATTAAATATTGTCGAAGAATCATGGCGGCACACCAACCCCATTTTGCATATAATGGGGGGAGAGGTAGATGGTTTATAACATTGATTGGCCATGACAACTTCTTATAAATCAACCCCAAACCGAAAAAAAAAAATTCTATTCATGTTTATAATTATCCATCTTTATTATGTAATTTATTTTAAATATATTCATTATTTGAAAAAAATTAAAATATATTATTTCCTACCGTTTGATTAAAAATTTATTAACTACGTGCAAACATTTAAACTTAAAGATATTTATTTATACTTGTACATGTAGATTGCAGGAAAACACAAGAGTGGCAATGAAAAAAAGGGGAGGTACACATGTTTTGCTGTAAAGTGGTTGTTTTCCAATTCCATTTAGTAGATCTTGTCTATTTTCAGTCTACCCAATCATAATAAAGAAAATGAAAACTGAGACAGAGCAGAAAACAAGACTAACAATTATTCATCTCATTATGGTTATAATTATAATATGAGGTGAAAATTTCATGGCACAGACTGCAATATAGGGATGTGTGAACAACACTAATTGGTCATCTGGAATCTTCAAGATAAAACTAACCATCAATAAAATAGCCATTTAAGCTTCAAAGGTTAACATGTTCTGCCCATTAAGAATAATGAGATTAACTGACCTGATGAGGCACAACTTTATCATTCTTTTCTTCATTAATGATAACACTCCCTTTGTTGGAATCCTTCCTTGGTGCTACCTCAGGAAACTTTATTATGAAACGACGCTTTTTCCTTGAAGATACAGGCAGGTTTTTTCCACCCCACTCTCCCCAGCCAGGCAAAGACAAATCAACACTCTGAGGCTGCGATTTCTCTGTCACCTCATCTTTCTCCTTCCTAATCACAGACAAAAGATATTTAACCCCGTGACCCATATAGACTACATATTTACATTCCCAGAATGTATGTTTTCCTACAATTAATTCATCACCTTTTTCAGTCCAATTAATTTTCCTACCATTGCAAATTACTTTGTTCCTGTTCATTTCATTTTACTTTTCCAGATTTTATGTCACTCCTGTGACTGGCCAACTTTTCCAAAGTTAGCTACTCTGATAAGACAATCTCCATCTTGCATGAATCATTTTAAATTTCAATGTGTGACTGTTTTGAAGTTAACTGTTACAGCATTACTGTTTAACCTATCAGCTGATTCTACTGCATACACTGCTGTTTTATTTGAATTTTAATGTTAACAGGCAAGATGGAAATGAAAAACAAAAGTAAACCTACTTCCTTAGAAGAAAAATTCAACATCCTACTGGATATCACAAACACATGAAGACTCATACTTCCTTGATGAAAGAACTTGGGTTATCAGTATTAACTCTGGATAAAATAGTAAAACACTGTCATGTCATTGGTGAAAATGCACGGAAGTTAGAAGATTATTTTTTTAATACATATACACCAACATTTCTTATTTTGTGTACAGAATTTCAGTGTTTGACAAGTGATTTTAAGCTACATCATGACACTGTATATTTTTAGTTTCTGGGAAATACATGTTTTGAAAATGTTCAAACATTGTTTAATAAATTACTGGTATTATTTATAGGGTTCTCTGTATCCTCCCACATAATTTTGATCTCCAAAGTGGCCTTTTCCTTTCATACTTCCCAAATGGAATTCTGTAAGTCTTTCTCTTCTCTTCCCTTTATTGTACACACCCTGTTCCTTATGATGGACCTACAAAAATAGGCCTTGTTCAATAGAAGGGAAAAGGTTAATTTCTGATCTTTAGTATGCCTTCAGGAGTTAAAACGAGAAGCTGAGAATAGGGAAAACTGGCGAACTGTTTTTGGGCAGAATAATGGACCTGTCGTCAGACAGAACACTAAATAATAATAATAAAGTATGCCTTCTCAGCAGGATCCTTGGTTGCAGCAGCAACATATACTACCACTGCCTTATCAACGACAAGAAATATATCAATTTTGCTCCTACCTGAACTCCGCAATTACATCATCTTCAGCAAACGCTTCAGTGATAGTCATCTGCCTTTCTTCACTCTCATCTTCATTGTCATCAAGAGCCTCATCACCTCTAGTTATCATGTCTGGAAGCTCTGTCTGCAAGTGTTTTGGTTTCATTGCCATGAACTTGTTAGGATCAATATTATCTAGTGGGAGTTCCTGCTCTCGTTCCTGTAAGCTAGACTCTCGTACTATCTTGTTCAGGTTCCCGCATGAAGATTCATCTTCCTGAAACTTATCATGAGGCTGTTCATTTAGTTCTTCATCCAAATCTGCCTGTACATCCACTTGTTTAAATTTCAAGGATGGACTTTCATCATCTGATTCTGAATTTGTGTTTTCAGCCTTGTTTTTATCTTTAACCTTAAACTCCAATTTCAGTGTCTTTAATTTCTTATCCACCTTCTCCTTCAATTTTTCTTCCATGTCATCAAACAATTCTCCTATTTTTACTGTATTCTTACTTGTACCGTTGTCAATTCTATTTCCTTTATTCTTATTACTGTTCTTTCTCTTTGGTCCACTATAATTCTCCACTTTACTCCTTTCTATATCTATTGGTGTCACAGTCCAAGAATTTGTTGTTGCAATTACTGCTGAGTGAGACTCAGAAGGCTTGGATTTATAACCAGTGGAACTAAAACTATATGCACATTTTCTCTTATTTACTTGCTCTACTATACTGTTTGGTTTATTTAGAGACATTCGTTTCCTCCTTGGCTGTATCTTGGCATTATTATATACCTCTTCTGAGATATTTTTCTCTTTATTTAAAAATAATATCTTTCTTTTGAGCTGCATCACAGTACTGGTATCTACTTCTTCTTCTTCTATATTATTTTGTTTATTTGATGAAATCTTCCATTTTGGCACTATCTTAGCACTGTCATTTTCCTGTTTGGCTCTATTATTTTGTTTATTTTGTAGCAACTTTCCTTTTTGTAGCTGTACCTCACTCCTATTATTTACATCTCCTGTTGTATGGTTCAGTTTTTTTGGTGATAATGTTTTCTCTTTTGGCAGTATCTCAACTATGTTATTTATCTGTTCAAAAGTACTGTTTCCTTTCTTTGGTGATACCTGTTTTCCTTCTGGCTCAGTACTGTTAATTACTGTATCACTACATCTTTGTCCTTCCCTTATTGGAATTTCTACATCTATAGAGCCATCTTCATTATTTTCACCTCTTAAATTTACAGATGCTGAACTATGACTTTGTATGTGATTTTTATCTACTTCATTACCTTTGTCATTTTGGCCTTCAATACTTTCATTTGCAGGTGCTGCTGAATGATTCTCTGTACATTCCTTCCCTAATTCACTTGCTACTCCTTTCCTGTCTATCCCTTTGTTGTGACATATGTTACTGGCATTACCAGTTCCTTCAGATGATTTTCTATTATGCTCTGCCCAGTATTTACGATACTCACTGACAAATTCTTCTACCTCTGAGGCTGCTTTTGGTGTAATCCAAGGATTGTCAGTGTTAGGTGGCATTACTTTTACACTGCTGTCTTCTTCCTCTTCATCGTCACTGCTGTTCTCAACCTGTATTTTCTGTGTCAAGTCCCGGCTTACTGCAAGTTGCTGTGCCAACTCTTGCCGACTCTGCAATGTCAAAACAGTCTCAGACTGGAACTTACTCACCCCCCATTTATAAAGGTAACAAAAAATATATTATGTTACCAGTTACCAGTGCTATTATGATAATCACCATCATTATCCTTCCTAAATTTATGTCTAGCTGGCCTGTTATGTGTATTACATTACAGATTCTTTTCATATTTTCAGAGGCCTTCTTAAGCACCTTCTTCA